ACTTCGCTGAGTATCATCCCAAAATTACACTTTCCTACCCGTAAATAGGCGTTTTTCATGATTACCTGGATGACTGGAAGAGTGAGGGGCGGAGGAGAAGGGCTGCGGTCGATCGTCGCCAGTGTTTGTTGAACTGGACGTGGAGAGGGCGGGGCGTGGCGCTGGCGCGGAGCGGAGCGGCGTCAGTACGCGCAGCAATACGTACGTATGATGATGTCATGGTCACAGTAACGACAGGATAATTAAATGTTTCAACTTTATCGGATGAGATCGCGGTGCAAAGCCATTTGTTCCTATTATTCCATCTCGATGAGCGAGTTTTGCCGCCATTGAAACTTTCCTCCTCTCTCTCGCTCGCTGTCTTCCCGCTCTATTTCTCGCTCACTCCATCCTCTCTCTGTCTCTCTTTGTCTCTCTCTCTCTTACTCTCTCTCCTCTCCCAATCTCTCTTTCTTTCTCTCTCTCTCTCTCTCTCTCTCTCTCGCTCTCAATCACTCCCGCCAGACCTACCTGCTGCCCGGCCGAGCCACCCATCCGTCTCATCGTAAGGAGAGGAAGTGTTGCTGGACGCCTAGTCGGTGTGAGGTTCAGTCGTTGTTGGCGGAACACCGAGTCGCATCCGTTGGGCTGAGCTGGGCAGCCTAGCCGGCTCGCGCAGTGCCGAGCTCCCTGGGCTCCACCCCACCGCCGACGCAACGGTCGACCACCACGGTGAGGATCGACGTTATAGTAGCCCGACAATGCCGACCACCATCTTCTTCTAGAGCGTTTTACTGTTCGGGTGCTGTTACCGCACAAGAGTGAGACTTTACGACTGCTTTTTAGTTTGCTTGTCTTTCTCAGCAAACTTCCTGTCACTTTGAAGCTGTCTATCAATAGTGACAAAATCCCCTCAATTATCATGGTACTAATTACCGATCCGAAATTGACAGTACAGAGAAAAAGCCCTGTTAATACAGCGTTCATTCGGTATTTAGATGTTGCGTTGCTGTTTTTTTCTGCGTGTAAATCTTTTTTTCGTTTGCGTTTCAATTCATTCGTTTCTCGAGTCAGCCATTCTTCATCCGTTCGTTGGTTCATTCATTCAGCTTTTCCTCCCCCGTCGGTGTGCCTCGCGCGTGCGTGTCCGCCGCGGCGCGCCGGGTCGGCCGGAGCGGATGAAGTAGGCGACCGGCCGGGGCGAGGCGTGGTGGGCCGGCCCGTGGCGGGGCGGGGCGGGGACCAGGATG